GGGGTACGGAGGGGCGGGGCGTAGTGTTAAGGGGTGGGGCCAAGGAGAAATAGAGGGTCTTCCCCAACGCGGGAAGAGGGCCAGAGACAAACCGAGGTTTCAGAGTTTGGGGAACGCGACCTTAGCCGGGCGGGGCCAGAGGGAACTTGAAGTTCCAGAGAATGGTTGCGGAGCCAGGGAACATCAGATATTCCGGGGTGAGGGGCCGAGACCCAAGGGGACGGGGCCAGGGATAACCAGGTGGGTCCAAAATGGTGTGTCTCTTGGGGGAGCAAGGATGGTTCTTGATACAAAGGGCAGAGCCTCATGGCAATGGGCGGGTCCACTGATAGCCTTCCACCTCTTCCTCTCTCCTCCGTATCTCGTACCCCCACAGGGTAAACTACAGCTGATTGTGGGCTGCCCTGCTTCTTGCATGGAACTGGAACTGTATGGACCTGACGACAAGTTCTACAGCAAGCTGGATCAGGAAGATGCACTGCTGGGCTCTTACCCCGTAGATGACGGCTGTCGCATCCATGTGAGGCCTTCCTATCTGGGATCCTTCCCCTCCGTTCTTCTATTTTTTCAACCTCTGCTTGCTGTGCTTTGCACTATGTGATAACCACAATAGGCCTTAACCTAACGGAGCTCCCAGTCTAGCAGGGAGAGAGACCAACACATCACCAGACACTGGCAGCCAGAGCGGTCTGGACTGGGCTGAGAAAAACCTAGGGTGTCTAGAGGCATCCAGAAGAGGTGCCTGACTCCCTCTGGGAGTATCAGGAGGGGCTTCCCAAAGGGAGGGATGCCTGAGCTGAGACCTGAAGGATGAGGAAAGGGCAACCCAAGAGAAGAGGTGAGAGGGGCATGCCAGGCAGGGGGAACAGAGTGTGAGGTGGGTCAGGGTGAGCAATGAGGCTGGACAAGGTGGGAGAAGCCAGGACACGGAGGACCTCTGCATGCATCAGCTCACATCATCCTCTCTATCCTCAGCCTCCCCCCAAAAAATTCAGACAAGTGAGCTTTACATGTGCTATTCCCTGTGCCTGAATGGCTCTTTTTTCTGTGCCCACATGGCTCACTCCTTCCTTCTAGTCTTTATTTAAATGTCACTTTTTGAGTGTGAGGGTTTCATTGCCCTCAGTATAAAATTTAAACCTCCTCCCTTTTGCACTTTGACTTTTGTCCTTCACACTAATCACTGTGACATACTGCGCATTTTCCTGGAACAGTGCCTGGCACAGAGAGGATGCTCAGCAAATCGTTGTTGAATCATGAGTTGAATCCATTAAATAAGAGTTGGAAGATAGTATAATTAACCCTGTTTTGCAGAAGAGAAAACTTAGTTTCAGGATGGAATTTACTTTCCTAAGGAGGAACTACAGCTAGAATTTTTACCTCTGTGTGGCTCTAGAAGTCAGTGTACCCAGAGAACTGGTTCTGTTTTATCTGTTTCATTTATTCAGTAACTGTTCATTGAACACGTGTTCTGTCAGGGATATAGCTGTGAACCAAGTCTGATGAGGTCTCTGTTTCAGCTCTGTCCAGCGTTAGCTAAATACTCACTGGAACAAGTGTGAAGAGTCAGTGAGAGGGCCATGCAGGAGGAGATCACGGAGCCAGGAGATCTATACTAAGGGACCTGACCCAGCAATGAGATCCAGGAGGACTTCCTCAAGGAGGTGCTGCCTGAAGAATAGGAAGAGTTAACTGAAAAAGGGCAAAGGGTACTCTAAGAGGGCACAGCTTGTGCAAACACTCTGAGGTGGGAGGGGGCACAGTGGGTTTAGGGGCTGAAAAATGACCTCTCCTCTTGTGGGAAGGAAGTGGGAGTGAGGGGAGGGCTCTGAGCTTGGGAATCCTGGTCTGACTCAGTTGTTCATGGGCTCCTTTTGACTGTGTGTGGAGAACAGATTATGGAGGACAAGAGAAGTGGGGAGGCCAGGGAGGAGGCTGCTTCCATAGCCCAGATAAGGTGATGGGGTCCTGGACCATAGTGGGAGCAGGTCAGGATTGTGCTGAGCCCATAGGACTACCTTTGAGCTAAACTGGGCAGTCTCAGCTTAGGGATACTGGTGGGTCAGGCATGGGCAGTGGCATCCTCAAACAGGAAGGTTTCACTCATGGATTCAGGTATCGATAGGCTGCTGACTACTGAGGTCATACAAGGAAGGTTCCCCAGAGGTGGGGCCTCTGGAGAGTTTGTAATTTTTCTAAAATTGTTTTTCTATTTATACATATCAGTTATATTTCTTGCAGCAGTGAATGACAGCAACCTCAAACTGACAAAAATCCCTAATATAGAGAGTAGAAATTCTTAAAAATTCTTGACCAGAGATAAGGGTCGTTTCTGTTTTGCCACATTAGCCCAGTGGTTCAGGCCAGAAAATTCAGAGTTTTTGTGACCCCCCTCTTTCCCTCACACCTGCATCCCATCTCTGTAGACCCTGTGGGCTCCACCCACAAAAACTATCCAGAATCTAAACTCTCCTCTCTTCACTGCCCCCACCCAAGCCCAGCCTCCATCCTCTCCCTCCTGGACCATCACACAGCCTCCTCCCTGGTCTACCGGTTCCTGTCCCTATGCCCCTCCATCTGCTTTCCACACTCAGCTGAAGGAGCCTGTGAACCCCTGAGTCAGATCAGCGCTCTCCTGGCTGAGCCCTTCCCTGGCTCCATCTC